TAGCAGAGGATATAGAAGTAGAATAATGGAACTTACGAGTGAAGAACCAACAACAGGAAACACTATCTCATTCACAGTCTCTCTCACATTCTCCTTCATTATCTCAAAACAAGTTTTCTAGTCTCCTAAATATTATCTCAAAGGAGTTTCTAAATTCTCAAAAGTAATCATTATCTCAAGACAGGTTTATCCGAGATCGACACTTCAATCTGCCATATACAGCGTTCAATCTTCACCGAGTATCTGCCCAAAGTGATGACATGAAGCATAGGTTGAAAAACATAATAATTGTAATATAAACTAAACTAAGGAAATCAATAAAAAAAAAAGTTGGATTAGTTTGTTTGTTGTTGACCTTTAAATATAAAAGAGGTTCTCCCCTAAAGGCTCAAGGAGGTGGTGAGGAGATTAGGGGTGAGGATGGGGGGTGAAGGAAGGACAGGTGAAGAGGGGGGAGGTTGAGGGTGGTGAGGAGTGAAGTATTATTGATTTCCTTTGTCAACTACTGCGTATAACTCATGATAAGTGTGTACTTTCCTCCTTAAAGTAGATAATCATGAGTCAAAACATCCATCTCTTTTATATCCTAATTGTTAATGACTAGAATACGCCCTTAAATACCTGAGTTGTTGAAATGCAGTACACGTGGACCCCGTTATCGATCGGTTACATATTCGAATAACAGGGAGCGACCAAAGGCATTATAACAGCAACACAACATCCGACAGAGACACACTACAATCATCAGGCGACACTTCCACCCACACGACCATCATGTTGCTTGTGAACATTACTTACGTTTCTTCAACTTGACGAAGTGTGTGTGTGTGTGTGTGTGTGTGTGTGTGTGTGTGTGTGTGTGTGTGTGTGTGGTCCTACCAACTGCTTGTGTCACGTTAAATATACTGGAGTAAATACTGAACATTTGTACAAAAGCGTATATATGTCCAACAAAATTATGATGAATGTTGACGAATTTAATAATGGAAGAAGTGCATTAACGTGTCTGCTGTGACTGCAAATTGTACCAGGTATTTTACTCCCGTCACTGTATAACAACATGCTAATGGTACAGTCCGTCCCACTCATAAGGACCAAGTTACTACACGTGACAAATATACAAAATAATGACTTTTAGACAAATGCTATTGTAATATTCTCAAACAGTTTCTAAAAATTTAAAGCACTACTTTTATGAATCTATTCACATTTATATTTTTTCAGCCCTTATTTGGTCTTAATAACAAATATCTACGTTATATATATTTATCTTGATATACGTGTTACAGTTATCAGTTTATAATTACATATACAATGTATACCACGAAGACGTCAAATTACTACAGTATCTAATATACTATAGGAATAGCCATGTGTCTGTCTGTGTGTCTGTTCTGGGCAGCCGAAACGGCACAATCGTTTTTCATCAAACTTGGTGAAAAAATCGCAAAAAAATTGTAGAGTGGAACAAACCTGGTCCCATGTCGATGGTTTCTTTAGGAAGGCATTAATTAACCATTTTATTTACACTGGAAAACGATGCAAGTCTACGGACTTGGCGCACCCTCATTCGCGCTAGCCAAGCACGAGCGTTCAAACTTTCACCAGGCACGAAGGGCCCACGATCACTTGTTTATTACTAAAATACAAACCCTTATACTCACATCCATTTAAGACCCAAATCATCACACACACTATTAATTTAATTTATACTGAGGTCTATACGTGACTACCTATGACCTATCACCACAAAACACGTTCATCTATGTCTCTCTCTTACACAGTATTCGAATCACACACACACACACACACACACACACACACACACACACACACACACACACACACACACACACACACACACACACACACACACTACAGTAAAACTAGCGAAACCCTGATATACAGAGGTTTTAATTTAGTGCCTATGTGTTAATGGGCAATAAATTGAATCGTTATCAACCTCACATGACGATTGGTCTTACTGACGCATTAAAAGATAAGCTGGAACTACAATTATTATATCTTTATTACTATTATTACTACTATTATTACAAGCACCACCTTTAAACGGGAACAGCAACACCCAAAAGATGACACAGTTAATAGTAAACTCATTATTAAAACAACAACAGCAATACCCAACAATAAAAGTGACATCGTAAAATTTTTCCGGTCTCAGGTTGAAGTTAACTCGAAGTCAGTGGCGTCTCAAAGTGCTTCCTCACACGACACTCTCCACGGGGCATAAATTACAGAGGTCATTTTTAATATCCATCACTCTGGCCCTGACAGTGATTGCTACAACTGGGTGCTCAGGGCAAACACTTCAAAATAATGCATTAAAGTTTGATGGTGGTTGTGATTCGTGGTTGAGGGGAGATTCAAACCCATGATTTAGACTAAAGTAAGGGAATGAGAGAACCACAAAACTGGCTGCTAGGTGTGTGGTGGTGACTGGTTGGCTGAGTGGTGGTCACTAAGGTTCTGTTAAGGGTTCGAGTCCCATAGTGTAGATATGAGAGTGAGAGACTATAAAGAGAGAGAGAGAGAGAGAGAGAGAGAGAGAGAGAGAGAGAGAGAGAGAGAGTCCAGTACACCCACACACCCTTTTACCCCCAAATTCGCCTCACGGACGACCATAAAACATCTGCATACGAGAGGAGTTTAACCTTAAAATGACGTTCATGAAGATATGGCCGGGGCAGCAGGTGGCAGCGCTCGTGCATATGCTGCAGGTAGGTTGGCGCTACTCTGCATCCCAATGTGCCCTGGGACGAGTTGAGATGGTCTCCTCCTCTACCTCAGCCTACTGCCTCTGCTCGCACGCCCACACCTTCTCCCTCCTTTTCTTCTCTCCATACCTCCCACACGCTTGCCCTCCCTTTCCCCCCTTCTCACCTTCTCCATTCTTCACATTTTAACCCTCCCTTCCTTCCTCCGTCTCAGTTACATGTTTGATGGAAATTCATCTCCGAATGCCTTGAAAGAAATATTCACAGGAAAACAACTATATCGTAGTAATAAATATTGCCAATTAGTCATGAGAGGACACTGAACTAACTCAAACAAGACAAAAATAATATCATTTATCAATCCTCTATCAATCATTAGGCTCAACACGCACCACTGATGACCAATGGAGCCTGGCGTCACGGTGGGCCACTCTCCTCTCCCCCAATAAGTGGTCAGAAAAAAATTAAATAAAAGGACTGTGTAGCCACGTGATAAATACACACAGGGTATCTCAGAAAAAATACACACTGCCTTACTGATATTAGTGTCTGTTTATATTACAAAAGCAACATTGTCCTTATTTGTTGATGTGTGAGGTCTCCTGCAAGTGAGGACAATGTTGCTGTTGTCATACAAACATTCACGTAAATAATAAAGGCAGTGTGTATATTTATTTTCCCGAGACATTGTATAATAGAAAATGTATCAGTGACGGTGTTTTCTTTAGAATTCTGCTGACTAAGACAATCCATAAAAGGAGTCACGTGTACGGACGGGAACTACGGTCGGAACCTACGGACAGGAGCGACGATCAGGAAAACGGACAAACTCCTTGTAACAAAAATTCCAACTCTCTCTACACCAACATCTAAATACAATTCTGCGTACAGATTTTGTTCATAAGTATTTACAAACCTACAAGCAACATATTACGCTCATATGATGCATTATTTTCCACTCGTAACGTACCACATACAGCACATACACAACAAAAAATTACAACAAATCCAACACGAACACTGTTAGCAACAAACCACCCAATCCATCACGTACACGTATAAACAACGGACCGAAACCCAGCACGGACACATGTTGTATTACCTCCCCTCCCCCTCTCCCTCTCCCCTCTCCTCTCCCCTACCTTCACCTTCCCCTCCCCACACACTCTAAAGAAGAAATATATATGACCTACAAATTGTGATGATGGATGACGAGAAGAAGTTACCGTGTCGTTAAGAGAGAAACTGGCCGGAAGTTTTTGAAAGATAACACTATTTGCCACTCTGGGAAGGTTCTCTTTCTCTACGCCGCTCATATTTTGCTGTAATCTGTGGCCCAGCCTTCAGGATGTGCTGCTGGAGTTAACTGACCCTCCTCCTGCTGTTGTGGTTGTTTTGTGTGTGTGTGTGTGTGTGTGTGTGATGGTCACTGCAAACACCTGATTCCTCCCCTTAGGTATTTAGTCATCAGTGTCATTGTAAACTGTTCCTAATTACTATGAGGCAATTAGTCATTAACATCATTATAAACAACGTGTTCCCAATTATAACAAGGTAATTAGTCGCCAGTGTCATGCTAAAGACTGTCCTTCTAATTACTTTAACACACATCATCATTAATTAGGTTGAAACATAGTACCATAGTATTAATTGGTTTCTACGTTTTACTCAAATTAGAGAAAACAAACATTCATGAGGATACTCTAAATGGGGTAATGAAGTCACAATGAACATCTATATCACAAAAATCAAATAAAGAAGTTATTCATTTGAGCGTTTCTTTATCAATTTCCCGAACGACTAAGAAATTGCCATAAAAAGGTCAAGACAAACGAATTGGCCTATTAGTGAGGTCAGAAGTTGCGGGGCCAATCAGAGAACCACACCTGGCAACGATGAATGGGGGGAGGGGGTTGGAGGGAAGGAGGGGTTGAGGAGGAGGGGTTGGAGGAGGGATGGAGAGGATATTATAATGTTGCCAAATTAAGGGCGAAAGTTTAGAGGTTGCAACACTCGGGAGGGGGGCACAACAGGTGTGGGGGGGAGGAGGGAGAGATGAAAGATTACGTCATTTGTTTATACACTTGGCTGCGCGAGGGAAATGGAAACTTAAAACAAAACGCGATGAATGGCTTGGAGAATAAAACACGGAAGGCAGCTGGCGGCCGTAATTAATAAAGGGAAAACGAATAACGGGAAGATACGCGAATACGATGGAAAGCAGTGATCATATATTTTGGTCTTAAGTACATTAACACACGCTCTCTCTCTCTCTCTCTCGTCTCAATATTCACACACAAACAACTGTACAAAAACCCATATATACCTGTACATTAACACAACAATAACACACAAATGAACAAC